GTAGTGTAATGTGTGTTTGGCAGCAGCAGCAACTGCAGCTGGCTGTAACACTTTGGCAGCAATGCCTGGCAGCAATGTCCATCGAATGTTGAGCGAATGTTCGCTGAATGTTCTCTGAATGTTCGCTGAATGTTCTCTGAATGTTCTCTGGATGCTCTGTGCCACTTGTTGTAGTTGTTGCACGTTGTTAAACGCTATAATTGATACAGTGTGCTGCACCTGACACGCCAACATGACTCGCTATGCAGGTGTGCAGGTTTGTGTGTGTGTGTGAGTCTGTGTGTGTGTGTGTGTGGGAGTCTGTGTGTGTGTGTGTGTGTACAGCTTAATTAGCACCTGACACTTGCATACGGACGAGTGCAGCGCTGTCGACTGCGCAGTCACAGAGAACCGAACCGAAGCGAAGCCAAAGCGCATTTAATGACAAGTTAATTTTCCTCTATGCGTGCGTGCAGGTGTACCCATGATTCTCTCTCTCTCTCTCTCTCTCTCTCTCACTCACTCTCTCTGTGTGTGTGTGGCCCTCTTGGTATTAGAAAATCAACACACAGCAGGCAGCCGATTGACAGCCAGCTGTGGGTGAGTGTCAATTTAATGATCAAATTGAAATTAAATGAGCTGTCATTGTCGTTGACTGAAAGACTATGCGAGCTCAGGTGTGCGTGTGACTGTGTGTGTGTGGCTGGGTGGGTGTGTGTAACTGCGAGCTGAGTCCGCTTGGCTTGGCCTTAAATATTAGTGGCTTGTCAATGGCAGGCGGCATATGGGGCAGAGCTCGAACGTTTATGGTTAAATGAATGTGATTAACAGCTCCTGTCGCTCTCCCTTCCTCCCTCTCTCTCTCTCTCTCTCTCTCTCTGTCACTCTCTCTCTCTCAGTCTCTCTTTCTATACATGGCATATATGTCCGTCAATGTCTTGTTCTGTGTTTGGTTAATTGTTATTATTGCTGTCATTACTGTCATTTTGTTGATGTATCCACTGATATCTGCCTCGCTAAGCGCTTATGCGATTTGTAATATATCCTATCCATGTATGCGTATATCTCTTCCTTTATCGACTGTAATTACGTGCCACAAATATCTCTATTTCGCTTCCGATAGACTTGCTATTTATTGCCATCTATCTTTCTCTTACAAATCCCTCGCAGATTATAATTCCAGTTATCAATTATCGCTCTATTTGTTTCGGTCTCTGTTTAACGGTTTCATCTCGCTCTCTATCTCTCTCTTTCTCTCTCCCTTTCTTTCTCTCTCTTTGTAACTGTTTACTACCTCTCTCTCTTTCATTCTTTTTTCTCTCTCTGTTTTACTATTTATTAACTCTCTCTCTCTCTGTTTCTTTTTGTCTCTGTTTAACTACTTACTCCTCTCTCTTTCCCTTTCTCTCTCTTCAGTATGTTTACTATATTTCTCTTCTATCTTGTCTATTTTGCATTTTTCCGCTTCTTTCCCCTCTCTCTCTCTCTCTCTCTCTCTCGCGCTCTACCTTCCTATCTATCCATCTCTATCTCTATAGCTATCTTTCTCTCTCTCATTCTTTCTCGTTATCTTTCCCCTTCTTTCCTTTCACCCTTCCCCACCTATCCTAGCTCTTCTCCCTCCCTTGCACATTACCTCCCCTTCTCACTCTAGTCAACTTTCTATGCATCTCTTTCCCTCTTCTACTCGTTTTCATCAACTTCAAAGTTATATTATCAGATCCTTGAGCTTGATAAACAAAATATTAACTAATATATTTTTAAAGCTGAAAAGTTAATATTTCGCTTCAGCTGAATTATGCAAGAGTTTTCCGGACTTTCTGCACTATTTTCTTTTGGGCTTCGACGCTTTTTTGGCGTGCCATGCTTAAAGTTTGCACATTAATTATAGCCAACGTGCTGGCAGTTACTAGCTGCCACGCCCCGCCTGTACGGCCACGCCCACTGGACGAGTACATCTGTCAACTGGGCGCTGGGCGCTTGGGAGCTTGGGAGCTGAAAGCTAAGATTTTTGTTAATTTTATTCGAGTTTGCCGTATTTTAATTACGCCGGACGACAGTTACGTTTAATTTGTTTTTTTTTTTTTTTTTTGTCGCTTTAAATGTTTCGCTGTTGCGAATTGCGAATTGCAAATTGCAATATTTATTTGATTTTATTTGCCATATAATTTATCGTTTTATTTACGGCCAGCCACACGGCAGGCAGGCATTAAATAAACACACACTTAATTGTGGCCAACAGGACAAACGCTGAGCTGGCCCTGTCACAAAAACGGCCAGCAATTAAATATGCAGATTTCAATATGCATAACTAAGTGCACATGTGTACATGTGTCACGTTCGCATGCGTCTGCGTCTGCCTCGGCGTCTGCATGCGTGCACGTACCTATCGCATGGCATATCGCCTCACTGACTGCCAACCCACCTGCCAGCCCACCTGTCTGCCCCCCATCCCTGCTCGCCCAAGTCTGCCCACTGACAGCTGCCAGAAAACTTGGCAATTGCTGCAGACAAGCAGCAGAGCGAGTGTCCATAGTTATTAAAATTAATTGCATAAAGTGGGAAAGCTCTAAAAATACGATTTGATAAATGCCTCTTAAATGCACCTGCTCCGCCCAGTCTCTGTCTGAAAGAAGACTAAAGGGGCGGGTCAATATGGCAATATGGCAATTTATTTAATTATACACACACAACATGCATACACACATGCTGCATTGCAATCGATAGTCGATAATTTCGCCTATCGCTGATCAACTTAACAGCCTCTCCACTTTATGCAAATAACTCATGAATAAATAATGAATAGGTGAACTAAAATAAAACCGAAATTTCATATCGAAAATATGTGTATAAAAATGATTTATAAAATAAAATACTTTAAAAAAAATACCTGAAAAAAATATATGTGCAAACAATTTTTTTAAAAGACATTTTACTGTATAAATTTTCATTTCGACAAGAACATTCAGGAGGAAGGGTGTGGATATGCGGGGTGGGTGAATTATAGCAAAAATTGAAGTTCTATAAAATACACATGAAAAAAATAAAATTCTTTTTTAAATATTTCAATTTTAGAGACTCTTTTGTTAAAAACGTAGAAGAAATAATATTATTACTGATTTTTCACTTTTAATCGATAACAGCTATCGATTTTTGGAATTTTATATATAATATAA